GAGGGTGGGGAGGCCCTGGCACAGGTTGCCCAGAGAAGCTGTGGCTGCCTCTGGATCCCTGGAAGTGTCCAAGGCCAGGTTGGAGGGGGCTTGGAGCAACCTGGGCTGGTGGAAGGTGTCCCTGCCCATGGCAGGGGGTTGGAACTGGGTGATCTCTAAGGTCCCTTCCAACCCAAACCATTGTATGATTCTCATTTTAGGTCTGCCCTGACAGCAGCCAGTGAACAATGTGATGTGGGCAGAGGCAAGAGCCCCAGCCCTCTGTTGTTTTCACATTTTCCATGGGAAAATATCCCTTTTCCAGGTGGAGGGCAGGTAATTTGCTTGCAGAAGCTTTTGTATGACCAGTACCTGTTGGACTTTGTAGGTCAGATTCTGACAAAGAAAGTTTTAGCAGTTTCCCAAAATTAAAGGAAAGGTTTTTTTAGGAACTCAGAGCACAAAAGAGAGTCATGCACCCAGAGGGAGGCACAGGCACTCGAGGTGCCTTAGCTAATGCTTCCTCACTAGAGGAAAATAAAGCTACCTGGGCATGTTTTTTAGAGTAATAATAATAATAATAAAAATAATAAAAATAATAAAAATAAAAGACAACCCCACAAGCTTTTTGGAGCAGTTCTCTCTGCAGCAAACCTGGAAGTTGATCTGCACCTCTCTTCTCACTTGTATTTCTCCTGCGAAGTACAACAAGCAAACAGCTTCTTTTGTGTCTCCTTAACTACATGTATCCATCCCCAGCCTTGAAGTGCAGGGGGAGGAGAAAGGGAGCTGCCAGCAGCTCCCAGTGATTGATTTGTCTCTTGTTGTGTTTTTTTTTTGTTTGGTTTTTTTTTGTTGTTGTTATTTTGTTTTGGGGTTTTGTTTGGTTGGTTTTTGTGGTTTTTTTTGTTTGTTTGGGGGTTTTTTGTTTGTTTGGGGTTTTTTTTGCGCTGTGCTGAAACAACTTGTTTCAAAAATGACAATGACAAATCCAAGGGAATATTCCTTGCTAGAAATTCAAGCCCCCCCCGAATTGTCAGTGGGTATTTCGATACGAAATGGGCTGTTTTATCCATAACTCTTATTTGGGAAGTGATCTTTTCAGCTCGAGCTTGCAGCCCTTGGAAGAGAAACGTATTTTCCCTGAAGCCATTTGCTGCAATAATTGTTGCCGTGTGAAAGTGTCACTGTTGCTGTCACGGGGGACAGTTTGTGTGTGCACAAAGGTGAAAGTGCTGCACCTCCCCACTTCATAGAATCATAGAATCAGCTGGGTTGGAAGGGACCTCCGAGATCATCAAGTCCAACCCTTGATCCAACCCCGCTGTGGTTCCCAGACCATGGCACTGATGCCACATCCAGTCTCATCTTAAACACCTCCAGGGACAATGAATCCACCACTTCCCTGGGCAGCCCATTCCAATGCCTGATTACCCTTCCTGGAAAGAAATTCTTTCTAATATCCAACCTAAACCTCCCCTGGCATAACTTGAGACCGAGCCCTCTTGTCTTGCTGATGGTTGCCTGGGAGAAGAGATCAACCCCCACCTGGCTCCCCCCTCCTGTCAGGGAGTTGCAGAGAGTGAGGAGGTCTCCCCTGAGCCTCCTCTTCTCCAGGCTGAACAGCCCCAGCTCCCTCAGCCTCTCCTCAAGAGGCTTCTTGCTCCAAGAAGTATTGGAAGTGGTCGTGGAAATGGATCGGAGGTCTTTCCCGGACTTGGACCAGCCCTAAAGCAAAGGCTTGACTAATCCCGGGGCTGAGGGCTGTGCCGAGCCCAAACAGCGCAGGGTCAGGGGTTAAGCAAACACAGGGATCCAAGGAGAGGGGGAATGTGTGGGGACCGAGGGGTTTTGTCACCCCGGGGGCCCGCGCGGGGCAGTGTTTGCTCCCCTCCGCCCTTTTCGCCGGGTTGTCATTCCTCATCAGGAAAAATCCCGTCGGCCGCACCGAGGGCGCCTCAGTGCCGGCTTTTTAGCAGAGAGGGGGGGTTTCTCTCCCACTGTGCGAATCCAGGCGGGATCGCCGGTAATTGGGAGCGCGGGGCCGAACTTTCCCAGCGCTGGGAAGGGCTGGCGCTGCCCTGACACGCTTCCCAGCTCCGCGCCTCCCAGGCCGCTGCCTTCTCCCCCCCTCTCATCCCAAATATCCAAAATAAAACCGTGGGCAGCGAACTCCTGACCTTCCCTTCCCCGCCGATGGAGCCGCAGCGGGACCGCTGGTCTGTTACCTACGGGAGAGAGGGAGGGAAGCAGGGAGAGGGAGGGAGGGAGAGAGGGAGGAGGGAGGGAGAGAGGGAAGAGGCAGGCGGGGAGTTCAGGTTACCGCATCGCCGCCTTCCTTCGCTCCTGGCTCGGGAGACACCGCCGGCGATGGACCCCTCGCTCGGGATGGGGCACCGGGGGACACCTCACCGGCTGTAGCCGGCGATCCCGGTGGGAGGAGGAGCCCATCGCCCTCCCGCTGCACGGCCAGAGCCCGGGGGATGCGCTGCAGGAGCCCGAGGTGAGGAGGTGCCTCTTCCTTCCCTAACTCCGGCTCCAGGTAGGACCCGGGACAGGCGATCCCGCTCATCCACGGACGCGCCCCTGGACCAGACTCATCCACTTCGCAAAACACGCCCAGCGCCGCGGATGGGTTGGGAGAGAGATAAGAAGGGTTGGGAGAGAGATAAGAAGGGTTGGGAGAGAGATAAGAAGGGGCAGCAGGTGTAACACTGCTTGGAAGATCGGGATCGAAGCCCAGAGTTCCCTATCCAGGGACGTCCCTCTCCCCAGTCGAGCAGTGTGCAAAGTTCATCCCCTGGTAAGACGGGCAATGAGGGGCATCGCGATGATTGGCACGAGGGGTAGAACGATTTGATGGTGAGAAGGTACGAGTAAGTAAAAATAATCCAGATTTGTCGTATGTTTTACATGGGGAAAACGTTTTGGCAGCCCCACGTAAAGCCCAGGATCAGTCGGGACAAGTACAGGGCAAATGTTGTCCTCGCTGTCCTGCTGAGAGCTTGGATAAAATGCTCCAAAGGAGGAAGATCCACGAGGTACAGGTAAGTAATTAAAAAAGCAGCCACTGGGCCTGATCCTGCCAAGATTGCTGTGTTTGATCAGCACTTTTAAAGCCAAGGAGTCATCGAGAAAGGATTTGCCAGCAGGAGGGACATACAGTTGGATTTCTGTTCCTTTGCTTTCTGCCTTAGCTCCGTTAATCAAATGAGGAGCTGGGCACTGTCCCTCCCAGTCAGCCTTTGGCACAGGGCTGGAGCAGTGAGGGGACCCTGGATGGCTGTCCCAGGCTCTCTCTGCCCTGAGTGAGAGCCCTGTTGTGCCCAGGAACATTTTCCTCCAAAAGTACCAGATTGTTTCTTTAACAGGCACATAAATGCAAAGACTTAATTCAACTGTTACATGGACAGCGGAGTGTAAAGTTCCAAACACCTAAAACCGATTGTGCCAAGAGGCAGCATGGAACAAAAGGGCACAGAAAGAGCACTGGGCTCACCTGCTCCATGAAGGTGCTCCCACACCTTAAAATGGGGGAAAAAAAACCATCTGAAAGGGAAGATCCTAACAGGTCCTCATCCTACAGCAGGGCTGAGCAGCACTCAAAGATTTAAAAGTGACACTGGAATATCTTTATTGCTAACTTTCCCCATTTTGAATGGGGATTTTTTTTGTACAATCTGTATAGTTATCACTTCTCTGCAGTGCTCTCTTACTTCTTCATGTATCTTGAGTCTGTTTCCAAGGGAGAAGAGTGAGATTCTCATTCTATCTGAAATACTATTTTCAGGGATTTTTTTTTCTCTTTTTCATTAAGATGAGACAAACAACATGCAGTGCTACTTGTAAACGAGGGTGCACGAAATAACTTCTTTTGGAGACACTGGCACATGGATACAATTTTTGAAGAATGGTGCTTCCATAAACTCAGAATAACTGGACTTTTGGAGTCCTGGCATTGACAGCAAGAGCCTAAAGAAGAAATTTCCTGGTTGCTTTTTTTATAAAGATGAGAGGGTGGGTGTGAGTGGGATTTTATTCCTGTTCAGCACAATGAACCACACGGGTTTATGTGGGGTCACGTTGCTCTGATTCATCCTCTTGTGGACAATTGCTTATCTGTGGTGAGATCTGGAGTCAGAGCAAGTAGAACCTGGAATATAGCAAGTAGAATAGTAATTGGAGGAAAATTGCTGATTCATGAGGCAATTCTGAAATAAGTTAAATATGCCCATCAGCATCAGCAACAAAGGGAAAATGGGGGTACCATAGAAATAGAGGGAGCATTAGAAGAAGAGGGTCTATTAGCATTGAAGACAAATCCAGGAAGGGATGTTTGGTTCACATCAGGTGAAGGGAGGACAGAGGCAGGAGGAGAAAGCTTTTAGGCTGAATGTTTAGAAAAAATTACTACTGAGATGAGGAAAGGTCCTTCTGGGAGAACAAGGAGGGAGTGCCCCAGGGGTGCTGCTGTTTTCTCTGCCTGTGAGGGAGGATGCCCTTTGCTGGCTGCCTGCCAGCTGGGTTTGGATCACCTGTGGAAGTGGATTAAGTTAAAACTGTCTAAATATGCTCCCAAAAAGGTCAAAAAGCACCTGCACTGGGGCTGGACTGTAATGGTTGTCCCGTACAGTGTCTCCACATTGATGGTCTGAACTCTGCAGCATCTTTCTCCATCCTGGAGAAAAGGGCTCTGACCTTATTAACTACTACCCAAACTGACATTTGGGTGGGTGTTTTAGGGCCAGGATTCATCCAGAGAATTTTCCAGGCAGCTCGGGAAAGCCAATTGATGTTTTAAAATAGAAGTAAGCTTTCCTGACTTGGCTAAAGTCCCTGGAAATACATTTCTTTTTTACTCCTCAGATGCAGCACTTCCTGTGACATTACCAGAGCAGCTACACCTCCTGCCAAACATTTTTTCGGCTGGTTTTGAGGGCAAAATTGCATTTTGATCTGAGGATGCTTTTTGGCTTTTCCAAAAACAAATGTTACAAGCCGGTCATGGTTGGGTGGATGAGTTCAAGGTGCATTAAGAGCTAATGATGATTTTTTTAATAGAGAGGAAGATGCATCCTCTGGTTCAAAAGATCCCTGTGCCACCAAACCTTCCCTCTTGCCATGATCTTTATTCTCCTTTAGGTATCAACCATCTGGGTTGTCTCAGAGGCAGAACCCAGAGACCACGTGGCGTTGCATCCATTTAGGAATGGGAATCTCCACACCTTGAGGTGACACTTCGGTGTCTGAACTGATGAGACCTGCAGACATGGATTCTTTCCTGGTGAGAATAAAGATGCACCTCGTTAATGGGTGGTTGCTGCCTGCAGAGCTGCTCCTGTGCCTGTGCCTGGGCTCTGGGAGGGCTGCCCTGCTGAGGTGGTGTTTATACAATATGTGGGGCTGTGGTTAACCACCAGCACACCACCATCCGTGGCACAGAAAACATGATTCACAGGAGGAAACAGTGGGAACTTGCCTTTGAGGGGGTAAGGTTAAGGAGTAACAGCAGGTCAGGTGGCTCCTCTGAAAACTGTCTCATGATGGAAGGGCATGGAGCTGAAACTTCCAGGGACTCTTACTCGGTTTACTGAATTTTAACCAATTTATATTATAATGTCTCTTTTTTGGACCATGGTTTTTTTTTTTTTTTTTTTGATTGATGCAAAAAAATGTTTCTTTCCTTCTTATTATAACTGTACCAGTGTTCAGGCTTCATTGCCATACTGCTAAGGATACAGTGGTGTGCACATATCTGTATATATCTCATAATTTATATATGCATGGCATTTCACTGGGATTAATATTAATCTAGAATTTAACGTATCACTCTGATATTTTTTTCTCTGGAAAATTCAAAATTTGGCTCGTTTTTACTCTTTCAAAACTTGACTCGTTTCTGCTCTTCATCTTTTTTCTTTTAATCATCTTTTATTCTTGCCTTATTAAAACCGAAAAAGGTAAATAAAACCAGGCCAACGTTTTACAGAGAAGATTCAATCTGCTGTTGGAGTCACAGGGTCAATCAGCTAAATGGGTATTAGTAACATAATGACAGAACATAAGCCAGGCAACGTAGTAGGATTTGAAAATCCATAACAGTAATTCTCCTTTTCTATTTGTTGTCTAATTGATGGCTTAGGGTTTGGAGATGGGAACTCCTGCTCTGGGTCTGTGACAGCTCCCTGGCCATAAAACATTGTGGCCCTTCTGGAGAGCCAGAGGTCTATTTTAAGCATGAAAAGCCCCTCCACACACACACCACCAAGGCAAGCCTGGGGAGAAACTGGGAAAGCTAAACCCTCACTGCAGCAGCACTGCAAAAATAAAATGAAAAAAAAAACCCTAAAAAATAATCAAGACCACAAAAAAAAAAAAAAAGGAAAAAAAAAGGGAAAAAAGAAAGGGGAAAAAAAACAACCAGGGAGAGGATTGGTCTGTAAATAACATGTTCAGCAACTCAAGTGATGGAAGCAGAGGAACAATATCTTGCTCTGTCTTGCTGATGGGCTGACAAGGAGAGGTTGGTGAGAGGTGTCAGAGGGGAAAAGGTTTTCCATAGTCTGACAGTAAGGGCAGCAGTAAAAGTTCTTCCCTTGTCCTGTACCCTTTCTGAGTTTCCACCCTCCTTTCCTGCCAGCCTCGACAATTTGGGCGAGGACACCGTTAATACACTTTGCTGTAAAAACCTCCCTCTGAAAAGCAGCATTTTCCCACAAAAACGGTGGCCCAGCCACTGCTGAACCCACTGCCTTGCCAGAGACATCATCTTTGAGAGCTCCAAGCTGGCCCCTGCTCCTCTGAAACACTTGCATGTAGGAAAAGAGAAATGTTTCCCACTGCACTTGACATTTTCTTATTATCTGTGTGTGCTTAATCCCTTCTTGTGTCCTGCTGAGCTTATGAGAAAGCAATTTAGGGGCTTTATTCCAAGGAAAATCTGGAGTTAGCAGCTATTACTAGTACTTACACCAGGGCACATGTTACTTTTGATGATTGGGAAAGGAAAATGGGAATAAAACCTCTGACTTTAACTGTGCAGTATTTGGGGTTGTAAGTCCAGTTTAGGCACTTCAGTTGTGCCTCTGCTTTTGGGTCTTCCTTGTCACAGCTGCTTGAGCCTCTTTACAAAGTGGGGACTCTTTGCAGATGCCCAAAAGCACTTTGGTCATCTGTGGTTTGGGTCGTTCCCTGACGTGTGACACCTCAATGCAAAGACAACACCAACCCTCCACTGGACTCAGTGGCACAACCGGAGCTTTGCCCCAGAAAAGTTAAGAAAACTGCATTTCTTTTAATTGATATTTTAAATCTGTTTCCCAGGGGGACTCTAGACCTACTTACCTCCCTCTGCCTCAGGCCAGATTGCTTTTCCTGAACTATGTGGCAGACAGTCTTGATCTCTTGGTGCCGTTCAGATAATTACACTCATTAACAGGCCTAAAGGAGGTGTCAGATTAATTTTGGTGGAATAACTAGGCTTTGTCACAGGACTTACCACGGCCTTATCACTGTGAAATAATGAAGGAGTTCCACGAGGGTCGGTGGTGTGAGCAGAGAGACCCCAGAGCCGACCTGCTCAACTTGGCAGAACTCAGGGGGAAGTTCGTGCCAGTCATGGAAATGGGAACTTCCAAAGTAGAGAGGGCTGTGGTTTGACTGATTTGGATCACAGACCTTGACTACCTTCTTCATAGAACCACAAGAATGGTTTGGGTTGGAAGGGACCTTAAAGATCATCCAGTGCCACCCCCTGCCATGGGCAGGGACACCTTCCACTAGCCCAGGTTGCTCCAAGCCCCATCCAACCTGGCCTTGGACACTTCCAGGGATCCAGGGGCAGCCACAGCTTCTCTGGCAAACTGTGCCAGGGCCTCCCCACCCTCACAGGGAAGAATTTCCTCCTCACATCTGGTGTGTTTTGAGGTGCAAAATTCACTTCCCAAAGCCGAGGTGCAAGTTTGACCCTTGCTGTGGCTGGAGGTAGGAAAAGCATGGGAATGCTGGGGATTCCGAGGGACTGATGGAATGCCCTGGGCTGGCTCAGCTGCACACAGAAAAGCTTTGTTACCTTCCCAGAATTGTGCTCTGGCCTGGCTTTAGGGAGCAGGGGCTGAGAGGAAAAGAGATTGGAAAGTGTCAAACCTGGTTTATATTTGTCACGTCCAACGGTGAAAAGTTTTGTGCCTTTAGTGCAGCAGGTTTTGTTCCACATAAAAAACCTGATGCCTAATTTGTGAAGAATAATTTTTTGACAAACCTGTAGCCCCACGCTTTTAAATTGTTTTCTTGGACCTTTTATTATTCTACCTATTCAATTAGAAAAGATGCTTAGAATGTCAACCCTAGCTCCAGAATCCTTTGGTTACTCAGATGAGATAAGCCTTGTCTGTCTACAGGTCAGAATGTACTTACATGTTGTTCTCTATTGAATCTCATAGTCCCTTTTAAAGTTCATAAATGAGCATTAATACAGGTCACTGAAATGAAAACAATGAACAGAGAGCATTTTCCTACTTTTTCAGTACCTTGGAGACAAAAAAATAAATTAGAGATTAAGAAAACTTAAGAAAATATATTTTTTAAAAGGAGGCAAGGAAACCAGTGGCAGTTTAATCCAGTAGGATCTCACTTGATCCAGGTTGCTTTGTAGGAATTCAGTGGGTTTTCTTCTTCAGAGTTTTGTAAGAGCTCCTCTTACATTTTTAGCTCTATTGTATGAGCTGTTGCATAAACTTATTTTACAAGACTGCTACTTCCTCAAAGCATTGTAAGAGAAAAGCAAAAATGCAATCCTGCTGCAGACACAAGAGGAGGAGGAGGATGGAAAGATGAGATGAAGGAGGAGGAAAGTTCCCAGGAAACAAATGACAGGATGAGAGAAAAATAGCATCAAGCTGAGCCAGGGGAGTTTAAGGTTGAATATCAGCAACACTTTCTTCACCTAAAAGGTTGTCCAGTCCTGGCACAGCTGCCCAGGGCAGTGGTGGAGTCCCCATCCCTGGAGGGATTTAACAGACATGTAGATGTGGCACTTGGGGACATGGGGTAGTGGTGGCCTTGGCAGTGCTGGGGAAATGGTTGGACTTGTTGATCTTGGAGGTCTTTCCCAACCTTAAGGATTCTGTGGCTCTGTGATTCTCTAAACCCGCTCTCCTTCAGCTTGAGGCCATTGCCCCTTATCCTGTCACTCCATGTGCTTGTCCAGAGTCCCTCTCCAGCTTTCTTGGAACTTCTTTAGATACTGGAAAGGGCTCTAGGGTGTCCACAGACCCTTTTTTCTCCTCCAGACTGAAAAAGCCCAGCCTGTCTCTGCAGCAGAGATGCTCCATCCCTCTGAGAATCTCCGTGACCTCCTCTGACTCGCTCCAACAGGTCTACGTCCTTCTTGCACTGGAGGCCTCAGAGCTGTACGAAGCAAAATTGGGGTGTCGTGAGAGCAGAGCCTTTTTTTCATGTGTTCATTTCAGGTGTGTGCCAGAGGAGCTCTGGGCTGCAGACTCTGCAGACTCTGGTGGCCCTCTCTGGTTTGCACCCCAGGGTTCCATGCAAAGCACTTTTGGATCTGCACAGGGCCATGAAACACCCCGCCAGTTCAGTTTTAGCAAAGTCTGTAGGACACAAAAGAGGTAATTTTTTTGGCAGTGCCCTTCGTAAAATATTTTGCGGTTGGAACAAACGGGAGATGTAAAAGGCTTTGAGATAATTAAAATATGTGATTTCTGGCTCACATCAGAGAGAAAAATCAAGTATAACATCTTGCAAAAGGACTTCCTATAAAACCAGAAAGATTTGTTTTGATGCAAAACGACTGGATGTTGTTCAAAATGACCTCTAGAACAGAGGTTGGTTCAAATTCAGTTGGGAAACTGCTTTGCAAGGAGAGGAACAGGCTCCCTGAATCCATAACATTTCAACCTGAACTCGTTCGCTCCTCAGCAGAGATTTGAGCAAAATGCTTATGGATAGGCAGAAGGAGGGCACTGATGTGATTTGGGGGAGTCTACACAGAACACTCCTGGTCAGAAGGCAGAGATCAAATTTTCATGAAATCTACAGCTCTAGGGATTGTGAACTTGTGTTTTCAGATGGGAAGACAGGTACAATTCTTTAAGAAGGGGGAAGGTGGAAATGGCCCCATCCTACTGCTCTGAAATAGTGGTTGGTGGGCCTGTGGGTTACTGGGGTGAGTAACTGATGCATTAAACTCTTCTCACCAGGTTAATTTATGGAGATGTGCAATATTTTTTTCACCGTGACCTTTTTGGGTTTGCTTTGACAATTTTTCTCTCTCTGAAAATTTAGGTTTGTAGCCTGATGTGCAGCACATTAATCTGTTTACAAGGATAAATGAGTGAACATTGTTATTGTTTGGATCTCTTTCATGTAAAAGGAGAGGGGGACAGAACAGCCCCCTTCTCCCCTCAGCATGCCCTAGTGAGTCACTTAAACTTTGCACAAGCTGAACCATCCAAACAATGTGACCCACTGCTGTTTTTTTTTTCTTTTCTTTTTCTGAGCAGCTGACCCAGCTTCAAAGATGTGACTCATGGCACCTCCAGCACAAAGATCAGGAGCAGTTTCTGGGTTGATGCAAGAGCCCCACAGGACACGAGGAAGATGAGGATGGGAGGAACCTGGCTGGGTCTGCCCCTGGGACACCTGCTGGCTCTGGGACACAGGCACAAATGGAGAACCATGGTATTTAAAAAACCCCTCTTGTTGTTATTCTCTGTCACCTGACATGGACACATATCTGCTGCTTCTCCACTCGGGCTCAGTGGGTCTAAATCATGGTTTGTGAGACGCCGAAAATGGGGAGGAGGTTTGAAGCATCAGCCAAGGTAACCTGGATGTGCTTGTGTGGATTTCTGAGGATACAGTGGCTTAGGGGGAAGACTAAAGTAAACAGGACTGTGAATTTGATGGCCAGCAGAACATCTTGTGGGGATGGCATGAGGAGAAATGAGGGTGGGTGACTGCCCTGAAACAGGCAGCTTCCAATTAGAGATGCCCTGGCTTTGAATCCCTATGCAGGGGGTTTGGTGCACAGCACTGAAAGGAGACAGTTATTACTGAAAGGAACTAGGTATTGTTTTTATTAATGTGCTGTTCCTTCCTGCTTCTTTCAGATGGATTTCAGAAAGTTCAGGCTGTTTTTTTGCCTCCTCGGGCTCAGCTGTGGCAGCTTCTGGTTTTTTTACAACTGGACCGAGTTCTGCGTGTTCTGTGAGAACAGCCAAGGTTACCTGTTCCCCACAGAGCCTTTCAGGAGGATAGAAGGAAACTTCTCCCAGCTCCCAGACATCGACTGCCACAAGAACCCTCCTTTCCTCGTCCTGCTTGTGGCATCCTCGTGCCAGCACCTGGATGCCAGGATGGCCATCCGGCAGACCTGGGGCAAGGAGAGGACGGTCGCCGGGAAGCGCCTGGTGACGTATTTCCTCCTGGGAAGCACCGTGGATCCCAGCCAGCAGGCTGACATCGCTGCTGAGGGCCAACAGTACAGAGACATCATCCAAAAGAACTTCACAGACACTTACTACAACCTGACTTTGAAGACCATGATGGGAATGGAGTGGGTTCACAGGTTTTGTTCCCAGTCCAGTTTCGTGATGAAAACCGACACAGACGTGTTTGTCAACGTTTTTTACCTCACTGAGCTGCTTCTAAGGAAGGAGAAGGCCACTGGGTTCTTCACAGGCTTTTTAAAACTGCATGAGTACCCCATAAGAAGAAGAGGGAGCAAGTGGTATGTGAGTAGGGAAGAGTATCCAGGAAAGACCTACCCACCCTTCTGTTCCGGGACTGGATATGTTTTATCCAGTGATGTTGCCAGTCAGATCTATCATGTTTCTGAGAGCGTTTCGTTCATTAAGCTGGAGGATGTGTTCATAGGACTGTGCCTTGCCAAACTAAAAATTAGGCTGGAGGAGCTCCATTCAGAGCAGACGTTTTTTCCAGAAAGGATCAGGTTCTCCGTTTCCCGCTTTAAGAAAATCGTGATGTGCCACGAAGTGGAACCAACCGAGCAGCTGAGCTACTGGAACCACTTGGTGTCAGAAAACCGTGGAGAGGTGCTCTAGCACCTTCCCTCCTGGAATTTACACACCGAAATGCTCTGCTTTTACAGGGCTGCTCTTGACCCCAGCAAAACTCCCAATTAACTCCAGGTCCAGCACGTTAGAGACTTTTGAAATGGTTATTTTAATCATAGAGTTATTAAGGTTGGAAGAGACCTCCAAGATCATCAAGTCCCCCCTTGGACCTTATGAACTAAACCATTGTACTGAGTGCCACATCCAGTCATTCCTTGAACACCTCTAGAGATGGGGACTCCACCACATCCCTGGGCAGCCCCTTCCAAGGCCTGACCACCCTTTCCAGGAAGAAATTCTCCATTTCTGCCCAAGAACATGCAAATCCCTTTCTCTCCCATTCACTCCATTGCATCCCTTCTCTACACAATTATTATTTTCTGGAAGATCCAGGCCTTCAGCCCTGCCCTCCAAATCCTGCTGCTAAAGGACTGGGAACATTCCTGCAGTGCTAAACTTAAGTCAAAACACTTTTTGTTCAGAGACTAAAATTTGCACCATCCTCCTGGTGACCCCTGATAGATTCCTGCACCCATCTGTGCAGGTATTTAAGGAATGGTATTTGGAGCTGTCAGGATGCTCCTCTGCTGGCAGAGGGAACCACAGCCCTGCCCTTGCAGCGGGCTCTGTGGGGGCAGAGCTGCATCCTGGCACAGATCCCTCCTTCAGTCTCCACACAGTTTTTTTTTTGCAGAGATGGAAGAATTTTCCCGTGCAATGCTCTTGGGACAACCTTGGGGACTGCAGGTCACCTGGTGAATGTGTAAAGTTGCTTCATCTGTTCCCTTGGATGTGTCTCCTGCTGAAAATACCTGTGGTGGAGTCAGTGGAGGGTGTCTTTGATTAAAATAGACCCCAGAGACATCTTTTATATTTGTGGCTCACTTTGATTGCCTGAAAGCTTCTGTAAATGGTTTCCCAAGGCTAAACTAGAGTCACTTAGGGTGATGTAGACATTTTTTTGCTGTGAGAAACTGGGAGAAGACGGGAGGATTTTTGTCTTTTAAACAAGACCCAGAGGGATAATGTGCTCAAGTGATCCCTCAGGCTGGGAGCCCTGTTTCTCCTTTCATTCCCAAGCAAAGATCATGAAATCTCTGGGATGTTTGTAGATTCCAGAGGCGAAGAATTGAGTCTTCACAGTAGAAGATGCGAAAAATACTTTTGGGCTGTGAGGAGGGAGAAAGGAGTTCCTAAATCCTGCCTTATGCTCCTCTTTTGATTTTCTTTCTCACACAGGAAAGGTCAGTTTTATCAGCAAAAAGTAGCAAATGCCTGTGATATGTGTGAAATGTTTTTTTTTTTTTTTTCAGGGAGCAGTAGAAGTGGAGCTGTTCCCAAGGGGAAAGTGGTCTGGGAGCTGAGGAGATTTGACAACTAGAAAGGCTCATCCCCACACACCCACACAAGGGAGCAGGAGGAAAGACAGGGAAGGAGATTTTATTACTTTATTTTTATTGTTTCTTTTTATTTTTATGGGTGTTGGACTGTTCAGGTGTCTCTTTTTACTTGCCTGTGTCTGAAGAGCAGGACAAATATTTTCAGCAGGAATATGCCCCAATCTGAAAAGTGTTTAGTAACAATAATAATATATTATTTATTTTCTTCTGGTGTGGAGTAACCTGAGCTCATGCACTGATTTTTGACCACTGATGATGAAAAAAAATATATTTATTTGTTTGGCAGAAGAATAACCTTCTTCATTTTAATCTTCTTTATTAAACTTTAACTATTTTATTAAAATAAATGAAATATTTAAACAGCTCAGTTTTATTTAAAATTCAGCTATTTTCTGAATACTTTTGCTGCTGGTGAGATGGGTCAGGCTTTTTAATCCCTGTTCTTTCCATGTAACCCGCAGAAATGCCTTTTGCCATTCATTGCCCTTGTGCCCAAGGTGCAGGCTGGCTATTCCTTTAATTTATGGAAAAATGGTGAGCAAAAGGAATGCTTCCTGGTCTTTCCTAACTCCCTGTCTTGTGGGATGGAGGATCTGTGAGCTGGGACAGCATAATCAGCCCGATGTCATCTTGGCCTCTTCTTGCTCTCAGATAATAAAATAATGATAAATAATAATAATAATAATAATAATAATATAATCCTGCAGTTGCTTTTAGGTCTCACTTCAGCTCTGTGCCTGGTGCCAGCTTTGTCCCAGCTGGCAGGACCAGTCCAGCTGTGCAATCCCAGGGATCTTTGTCTCCATTTGCATTTGGGTGTGTTGAGCTGTTCACCTCCACGGGGCGTTGACATCCAAGAGCTGTGGTGGCTCCTGCAGCTTCTGCTCTTCCCTCAGGCTGAGGCTGTGGGAGAGGATAAAGTTTCCCTTCAGGAGACAGCATGTTGGGTTGTTTCCCTGGGCTATGGCTGCTTGTGAGTGCCACTAAGATACGTCCCACCCGAGCAGTTTGGGGCTTTGTATCAGCATAAAAAAAGTTACCCCTGAGGGCCAAGATCTGCTTGACCTCTTGGCTGTGGCTTTTACTTTAGTTCAGGAGTGTTCCCAATTACTTGGATACAGCCACTAACTGGGAAGATGGTGCTATTCTCTGCAGACTCTACCACTACATCTTTGGGGCTAAATTCAAGAGCAAGATGTCCCTGCCCACAGCAGGGGGCTGGAAGTAGGTGATTTTTATGGTCCCTTCCAACCCAAACCGTTCTGTGATTCTATGAAATTCAGCTGCTCTGCTGAGGAATAAGGTCCTCAGGAATGCTCTAAGAAACCATCCCATTCTGGATCCTGTTTCCACTGATTATATGTGGCTAAGCCTCTGATGGTCTATCTATAAGCATTTTGCTTAAATCTCTGCTGGGGAGCAAATGAGTTAAGATGGAAATGTTATGGATTCAGGGAGCCTGTTCCTCTCCTTGCAAAGCAGCTTCCCAGCTGAATTTGGTTGAGAACTGGCTGGTTTAGAACTGATTTTGGTTGCTGCACATAATTTTTCTCCACGTCTGATTTTCTCTGTGCTCACATCAAATAGAAATCGATTCTGTAATTCGTAGAATCATAGAATTGTTTAGGTTGGAAAAGATCTCCAAGATCATCCAGTCCAACCATCAACCCAAGACTGCCAGGTCCACCCCTAAACCATGTCCCTTAGCACCACATCTACACTTCTTTTTGAACACCTCCAGGGGCAGTGATTCCACCACTTCCTTGGGCAGCCTGTTCCAGTGCTTGAACACCCTTCTTGTGAAGAAATCTTTCCTAAAGTCCAAGCTAAACCTCCCCTGGTGCAACTTGAGGCCGTTTCCTCTTGTCCTGTCACTTGTTACCTGGGAGAAAAGACCAATCCCCACCTTGTCACAACCCCCTGAGCCTCTTTTTCTCCAGAGTAAACCCCCCCAGCTCCCTGGGTTGCTTGAAATAAGAATATGTTAAATTAACAATAATTAGACCTGCTGGAAAAGGTGATTTAAGGAAAGTAAATGATTGTGTATAAGGCAAATTCATTTATTTAAACAAAACCACTGAGCTAGTGACTTTATGAAATTAGCTTTTGCAGCTTAGGCCTCAGATCATGAATTTTAACAGAATCAAAACAGTATTAGTGGCCTTTTGCTAAATTTTATATATTTTCCTATGAAATACCATCACAAAGTGAACAGAAATATAACTAGAACTGTAAACACAATACTGCAGTGTACATAGGCTTGTTTTTTAAATTTTGTATGGGCTAATAAAAGAATTTAGGCTATTTGGGGGCAGTTTGTCTGTGAAAGCAGAGCCCTCCCCTAACATTTTTATGCTTTCTGGGTCAGAAGATCATTACATCATTTTTTTATGAATAGCTATGAAAAGGTCAGCTAAAAGTTACTCCATTGCTTCTCATTTAAATGGGGAGGAGTGAAGAATAACAGAGCTGACACAGAGTTGGCTAAAATTGTGTATCTCAACACACTCTATTTCTTCCAAGATCATTTTTTGAATACAGAAAAATTAATGTTTGATTGTTTGTTTTTTTTTCCCCGCGACTTTCATCAACCAACATATTCTTAGTTTAGAGTAGCATTGTCCAAAATGTGCAGGAAGGCTTTGGTCTCTCAGCTCCTCTGGTTCAGCCTTACCCGGGAGGTACAACCCTGCCAGGCACTTCTGGGAACACAGGGGAGATTTTTGTAATGAAACTTTTGCCTTCTGTCAGAGCTGAACAGAACACAAGGGCTGCACTGGATCTGCCAGGAATGCTGCTCCTCTTGGATTTGTGCAGGTCACTGTGTGATGTTGATGTAAAACATGTGAGAATGTTTTCATTATTGGCATAGAAGATGGGAATGTTGAGATATTCCATGAATGACATTTTAGTAAAGTATTTTGTTACCACAGTTTTGTGTGTTCACTTATCTTTCTGGTTGTGACTGTATTAATATTTCGGGATGTGGTCGAGTTAAGTAAGGGGCTTGCTCTTTTTCCAATCAAAATTAATAGAATCTTGGAATCATTTAGGTTGGAAAAGACCTTTAAGATCATTGAGTCCAACCACTAGGCCATCACTGAACCATGTCCCCAAGTGCCACATCTACATGGCTTTTAAATCCCTCCAGGGATGGTGGCTCCACCCTTTCCCTGGCAAGCCTGTCCCAATGCTTGACAACCCTTCCCATGAAGAAATTCTTCCTAATGTCCAGCGTAAACCTTCCCTGGCTCAAACTGATGACATTTCATCTGTCACTTGTTGTCTGAGAGAAGAGATCGACACCCCCCCAGCTCCCCACTCCTGTCAGGGAGTTGCAGAGCCAGAATCACAGAATCATAGAATCAGCTGGGTTGGAAGGGACCTCTGAGATCATCGAGTCCAACCATTGATCCACTACCACTGTGGTTCCCAGCCCAGGGCACTGATGCCACATCCAGTCTCATCTTAAAAACCTCCAGGGAC